CAGCAAATTCTGGAAGCAAATGTGATGGTTAAAAAACTGTAGCTGAAATTAATAATAATGTTATATCGCCCAGAAACATAATAATATTTTGCATTTAACTTGGTCAAAAATGTAATAAATCTGAATATTGTAATACAGTAATCTAACAATATTTGTACTGATAACATAATATCTTTTAAAAATTTTTGGACATTATTTTTCAGGTTGATCATATGTAATACATCATTACTTTATTGGGAATTTATTATGTTTTCAGGGCAATCGTATGTAATCTGTTGACATTATTGGGAATTTTCTTATATTAAAAAGATCTTTTTTAAAACGAATTATTAAAACGAACACGTATGCTGAACTTTTTTTAGAATGAAAGTTACTAAAGTTCTTCTACAAAGCTTTCGTGTATTCTGCAAAATGTAAAATATAGATTAAAAATGAATATGGCATTACATTAACAAAGTTAATTATATGGTTGATTCATTCATTTGAAAAAAATCTCAAACTAAAATTGTAATAAATTCCCAATAATGTAACAAGGTAATTGATATTATTTCCAAAATTATATTACATAATCAGTTTAGATAGTGCATTACATTATTGAGTAAGTTACCAAATTAAGTGCAAAATGTTATATTTCTGGTCTTTATTACATTATTGGGGGATTATTACACTTTTGGGTTCTTCAAGGCTGGCATCCATAGCAGGACAATAATCCAAAACATATCTCAAAATCCAACATGAACTACACAAGCTGAAGCTTTTTTAGTGGCCTTCACAGTACCCTGACTTGAACATCATTGCATAAGAACTAGAAACGTTTTACAAGGAAGAGTGGGTGGAAAGTCCTAGCTGGATACAAGAAATGTTTGCAAGCTGTGATATCTGCCAAAAAGCGTGTTACTAAATAGTACTATATTTTAACTGCTAAGAAGTTACTATTTTTTTATGATTTTTTTGTTTTGTGCATTAATGAAATATAAAGTAACTGTGCACAGGCCTCCTGGGAGTCCTAAAAATGTCACTGACTGTGAATATGAGCTGTGATCTAACCAGGTTTTAGACATGTATTAGAAATGGAAAACACAAAAGTGCTGTCACTGATAGAACAAGCAACATAAACCAGCATTGCTGGTCACCATCAAAACCAACACATGTTGACATGACCATGCTGGTTGACCAACTAATGGAATTCATGCTGGTCTAAGCTGTTTTTTCAGAAGAGATACCAGAGCTCTTTACTGAAGAAGACTTTTACAAGCATCAGATTCTCTAATATCTGTATTTCATCTAGAATGACCAAAGTTTTCCACATTTTGAAAATGTTTAGTACTACCATAATACTAGAATTCCATGGGGGGACTAGCAGAAAATAACATTATTTCAAAGGTGTTTTTTTAAACATTTATGGCCCAAATTAAAGTCCTACCTCAAATAACCACAATTCACCACCAAATTTTGGTACACTTAAGGCTACAGTATGTGTCTAAAAGTGGCATAAAAATCAAATGACCTGAATGTGGATTCTTCTGGCCTGTTAAAAGCAGGTCAAACGTAGTGCTCCTTAACTGTGTCCAGATTATGCCCATGGAGCTGTGTGTGTGAGGGAGCCTCATCAGGGTGCACATATATGTGTGAGGAAGTTCTTTGAGTGAGTAAGTGTGAATATCTCTAAGTAAAAAAGAGAGTAAAAAAGGGAGTTCATGGTGATCATAGCTTTTGGCTGGCTTATTTAAACATGAATCATGAGACAGCTTTTTAATCAAACACACAAATAACCCAGATGACCCTCATTAAAATCTCACCTCTAAAGTCCATTATTACATAATCATTTCTCTCTACACTCTCTCAGTAATTACATTTCTTTCTTTAGCTATCAGTGTGTATGTGTCTGTGGACATGTGCATGTATAAGAGACTGCAGAGTTGAATAAGCATTGTGCGCGAAGCAGGAGTTGTTGTGCAGAAGGCAGAGCAGCCATAGAGATGGTGCTTTGTAAAAGAGCAGCTAAATAGATATGGATTTGTGTGTCTGAGTTCAGATTGAAGCTATTAGAGTTGGACCACTTGCTGTCTGCGTTTCACCATGCTGCAGGAGGAGAAAGGAATAGCACCTGCATTCTGATTCTGCTGCAAACAGACGGTACATTGGGCAAGTAGACTGAGAGTTTCCTGTAAGACTCTCTGTAGCAAATTTAAATTTTAAAAACATTTTTAATATAAATGTATGATAACATTAAAACTCCTTCCTTGCCTTGTTTTCACAATTTTAGCACTCCACTTACCATATAGGTGCACTTTGTAGTGCTGCAAGTACAAACAGTCTATCTGTTTCTCTGCATACTTTGTTAGCTCTCTTTCACCCTGTTTTTCAGTGGTCAGGACCCCCACAGGACAAACACAGAGCAGGTATTATTTGGGTGATGGATCATTCTCAGCACTGCAGTGACACTGATGTGGTGGTGGTGTGTTAGGGTGTGTTGCACTGGTATAAGTGAATCAGACACAGCAGTATTTTTAAACACTACAGTGTCACTACTGGACTGAAAACAGTCCATCAACAAAAAATGTCCAGCCAACAGTGTTCTGTGGGCAGCGTCAGGTGACGATTGATGAATAACTACGATTAAGGGAGGATGATTAACACAAACTGCACAGCAACAGCTGAAGTATCGCCTCTGACTTTACATCTACAAAGTGCACCAACAAGGTTGAAGTGTCTAATAGAGTGGACAGTGTGTGGACAAAATCTAACAAAGTTAGACAAAGTATGCAGAGTAACAAATGGACTATAGTCTGTTATTGTAGAACTAGAAATTCACTTATATGCTAAGTGGTGCTGATTAAATAGGCAGTGATCTAGAAAGAAGGAGATGCTTTTAATGTTCAGTGTATTTGATCAGTATATTACTCTTGCTCTTTAAGGCAAAAAATGTCATGTCGTGCTAAATCATCTATACATGTGTGCTGCAAGAACTCTTCTGAAATCATTTTACTAATATTTGTGTGTGTGAGAGGGAGGGATTGAATGAAGTAGTGAGTATGGGGGGCAGTATGGAAGTGAGAGAGGGAGGGAGAGAGGGAGGGAGGGAGTAGGACTGGGTGATACAGCAAAAATCACGATATCACGATACCTGAAGACATTTTCACGATACACAATATGTCTCACAATATTTAGTTTTTGGTTTAAGGTTTGATAAGTTGGAACTGACAAAAAATCCCTGTACTGCCACAATTAAAAATTGCTATTAACATCTATAAGTACAGTTACTTTTATAGTGTTTACCAATTAAACATGACTACACTACTTCTGCTCTCTTTGTAATGAAACATGAGGCTGGTCACAGTTCTTTAAGTGCTAACAATATCCACAACATGTTTAGGAAAGTGTGTTGTGACAACAATAAAATAATATCAATTTGCCCACCACTAGGAGGGAGTATGGCAGTGAGTGAGTGAGGACATGAGGGAGGGAGTAAGTGAGTGGGTGAGATAGTGAGTATGGGATGGAGGGAGTATGGAAGTGAGTAAGTGAGTGAGAAAGTGAAGGAGGGAGTGAGTGAGGTAGTAAGTGAATGAGAAAGCAAGTATAGGAGGAAGGTCATGGAAGTTATTAAGTGAGTGAGTGAAAAAAAGTGAGGGAGGGAGTAAGTGAGTGAGTAAGAGAGTGAGTATGAGAGTGAGTATGGGAAGAGGGAATAAAGTTTGTTAATTGCTTTGTTGCATAATCCCACATCACCAGCATTTTGAATGATGCCTCGCTGTACAAACATTTACCAGAATCTGAATACTGTTAGAATATTGTGCTATATTTTTGCCATATCATCCACCCTTAATTATATCAGATCATCCACTGCAGAACTTTTCTACATTCCACATATGAAATTTTAAAGGAGTGGTAGAGCTTCCTTTGCTGCACCAAAGTATTATCAGTATATATTTGTCAGGCTCCCTCTTTCACTGATAAAAAACAACAACAATTCAAATTTCTTCACTTTAGCATTTAGCTACATGCAGTTTCACAAGTGGATTATTTGGTGGTCATTTGGGCTACGTTCACATTACCAAGTTGAAGTGGCACAAATCCGATTTTATGCCCTAATATGACTCAGATCTGATTTTTTCAGGGCTGTGTGGACACACAAATCTGATCTTTACAAATTTGACCTGAGACACTTTCATGTGTGGCCCTAGATTGGATATGTATCTGATTTGTGGCCATGCGACCTTAATGTGAACGCTCAGATCAGAATTCATGTGCTTTTTTTCCACTGCGTGTGCGCCATCATTCAGCATTACCATGGCAGCCTGTAAACGGTGGAAAAGCAACACATCTCACCCTTTTTGTCTTTGTCTCGCTCAACTAATAAAGTTGAGAGCTGATCAGAGTTAATTATCTTCACAGCGAAGGCTCATTCTTCACGTTAGTTTGTTTGTTGATGATGCACGTGACGCACGTGACGCACGTGATTCATTCACTTGACGTTACTGAGTAGGATGTGCGCATGCGGGTCATTTCAGGACGCCGGTTCGTTCACAGTGACAGATTTGAATCACTTACCTAAATAAGTGTGATCCATCATGTCAGAGAGATCGGATTTGAGCAAAAAATCAGATTCAAGCAATGAGGCTTGTAATGTGAATGTAGCCTTGGATGTGCTGATTAAGACTGGTCTTATATACATGGATATTGTTTGTGTTTTTTATCACTTTTGACTATGAAACTCTACAGCACAATACAACATTATTGTCTTATTTCTTTGATTCTGATGTGTAAATTCAAAAGCACATCCAAAACATTATGCATTAACAACATTATGCAGAGCATCATATAAATACATCACAACCACAGATAACATTGCATACTCCAGTCTTGATATGGGCTCAAATGCAGTGACATTTGTCAAGTTCCCTCCTGAATGATGAACAAATGTTGTATCTGAATGATATTTCCTTTGCATTACAAGTCTTTAATGAGTTTTTTTATTTATTTATTTTTCTTTACAGGTCAACGGGACAGAAATTGAATATGAATTTGAAGAAATTACGCTAGAGCGGGTAAGTCACATTAGTGATCTGTTACTTCATTGATGTATGCAAAAGATGACTTGTATGCACATATATGCGCAGGGTACATCCAGTAAGAGTTCAACACTAGTGCCTAGTTTTACGCTCATGTGGAGTTTTCTGTATGCATCTCGCTCATGCGAAGAGACGCGGGCATTAAACATGCCAGGCCAGAGCAATGGATCTTAATATCATGGATTAGAGTCTGCTTCTCAGACTGCAGGCAACAATAGCAGGAGCATCCAATGTATTTGATGCTTCCATTAGTTAGAAATTAGTAGTTTATTGTTCAAATGTTAATCACAATAACAGCAGACTAGCAAAGCTAAGTGGTTATCAGCAAATAAACAACTTGATTTGAGATGGTTGTGTTTATTTTTGTCAAAATGAAAACTACTGACTGTCCAAAAGAGCATTGTTTGTTTTATTTTCTTATTAATGATGTGTCAATTGAGATCAGTTGGTTGAAATGATATGGCTCGGCTTGATCATTCACACTAGTGTATCGTCATGATAGGCTTCTAGTAGTAGTCACTAATGTTCATGGATTTAACTCTCATTTTCATTGTGATATGCTTCTAAGAGTAGTCACTGTTTTTCATAGATCTGTTTATCATATGTTGCTCTGGTAGGCCTGTAACAGTAGTGACTGGTTGCCATTGATTAGTCTAAATACTTCTGTCCAGTGACAGGCAGGTTTGTTTTTTCTATATTCAATATTGTATTAATTGTCACATTTTATTCTTTATTTATATTGCTATTGTTATTGTGTTACTATCCAGTGTCAGCCAGAGGAGGATGCTTTCCCCATTTGAATCTCAGTTCCTCTTAAGGTTTCCTCCTCTTGCTCTTGTTTGTCTTTGCCACTGTCTCAATTGGCTTGCTTATCTGATGCTCGGATTCAGATTTTCTGTAAAGCTGCTGTTGTAAAACGTGCTATGTAAATAAGTCTTGAATTTATCAGTATGTGGTCAACATGTTGAATGGCTGTCTCATAAAACTTGTTTCACAATGTTGATGGTGTTGCATATATTGAGGCGCAGTTTAACATGTAGCTTTATGTAAGTTGCAGGCAGTTGAAGTTTAAAATTGAACTCTTGATGGATTATTCCGGGTATTCTTTGGTAGAGATGCATTCTTTCTAAATCAACTCAGTGTCAGTTCTAATTTGAATTTGCAACTGCTGACACAAAGCTCTACTTCATTTTGCCCTAGATTGAGGAGAAATATTGTTGTTGCTGTGTATCCTTACTGACAGAGCTGCTCCCTCTTTCTGCCTGAAAGGTCTTGGACTGAACAGTGTGTTCCACAGGCTACATTAGGGCTAATTGATCTCTGAGGATTGCAGGCTCTGGCAGAGGCAGCTCTGGGTTGGTGCTGCTGTGAGTGGTGATTCAGCAGCACTCTTAATTGGGCTGCTATGTTTGCATGTGAAAGATTGTATTGCACTCTCTAGGCAGTGTGTGTGTGTGTGTTAGAGAAGGGTAGCCAGCTGCAGGTGACATTTTGACAGCTGTAATCGGATCGGCCGGACTGAAGACAACGCAGGGACAATAGCAAAGGTCAACAAGACCAAGGGGAGCGTTGATTTGTCAAAGACTGGCGCCTGGAGGCTCAAAGCGTCTGCCCACAGCTCCCTGATAAAGTGCTGTTAAACTAGATACACTTTCTGTCTCTCTCTTTCACGTATCACTCTTTCTGTCAGTATGTCTGTCTCTCTTGCATACATACCACATCAAAAGTTTGTAAACCTCCAGCTTAAAAAAAGTGTTTTAATAAACGAGCATGTTTTCTTTCTTGGTTTGCAATACTTACGTTTAAAAGAGTCAGGTTGGTTTTGAGAAAAACATTGTCCTGTGTGTAGATCATATGTGCAGAAAGAAAGAAAAAAAAATGGTTCTTCATACAAATAGCCAGGAGTGGCCAAAAAAAAAGTTTCAATTATAGCTGCAATAAGTTATAACTGGTTTGTTTTATTTTGTTTTGCCACATATATTTGCATATTTTCCTTGATATGCGTGACATTGGCTCATATTATAACAAAGTGTTAAAAGAATGACATGACTCTCCATGACACACCAGGACACTCAGCAGACCCTGCCCTTATCAGCCAGAGTGACATAATCGAGCTGTGACCATATAAAAGTAAACACAAAATGCTGTTTGAAATTGCTGTTCAGCCCTGCCTGTCCCTGTGTGAAAAGTAATTACCCCCTTAGCTACAAAATTGACCAGTTAACTGGCATAATTAATGCCAGACCTGTTGAATCTGAACACTTAAATAGATACCTATTTGGTAATGTGAAGCAGGCTGGAAGGTCCCAAAAAGCAGTACATGATGCCACTTTCTAAAGAGATTCAAATACACATGCGGAACAAAGTCATTGAAATCTTCCATGCTGGAAGGGGTTACAAAGCCATTGCTAAGGCTCTGGGACTCCAGCAAACCACAGTGAGAGCCATTATGCACAAATGGGAAAGAGTGTGGCTGGCCTACCAAAATTTTACCAAGAGGGCATTGACGACTCATCCAGGAGGTCACAAAAGAACCCAGATGAACATCTAAAGAACTGCAGCCCTCACTTGCCTCAGTTAAGGTCAATGTACACGATTCCACAATAAGAAGGGCAAAAATGGTTGCAAGGTGCAAGGTGTAAATCGCTGACCATAAAGAATGCAGAGGCTTGTCTCGCGTTTGCCAATGGACATCTAGATGACTCCCAGGACTTTCAAGATAATATTCTGTGGACTGATGTGTCAAAGGTGGAACTTGTCAAAAAACATGGGTCCCGTTACATCTGGTGTAAAGCTAACACAACATTCCACCTTAAGAACATCATACCAACACTTAGACATGGTGGTGGTAGTGTGATAGTCTGGGGCTACGTTGCCTCTGCAGGACCTGGACGACTTGTTAAAATTGATGGAACCTTGAATCGTGCTCTTTATATCAGAAAATCCTGAAGGAGAAGGTCTGCCCATCAGTTTGAGACCGTTTGACTGCAGTTGTTATTGTAAAGTGTGGCCTCGGAGACCCCGGGTGTGTATTCTCGTTCTGCTCTGCCTGTGGAGATGAATGTGCTTTAATCACAACAGCCCTCTCCATTCCCCTCAAATGCCAATTAATCAAAGCTCCAAGAAAATGACAATTTACATGATGCAGAGGCATCTAGAGCATCGCCCCTGCTTGCACAGACACGCTCATAAACACAGCCTGTCTGGGTGAGTATAATTAGCTCCATTCTGCTGTTCTCAGGGGCTGTTTGGCTGTTTATCAGCGACAGAATCAATTGAAATGCATCAGTCTTGCGCTCATCCCTCGCAGGAACATCACTTTGCTTGCACCAGAGAGATAAAGTTAGTTTCACTGAGAGTTCACAGTTACTTTTCAGAGATGTGTCCTTTTCCCTCTTGTGTTAGCTCCTTGAAAACGGTGGTGGCGCTGTGAGGTTGCTTATGTATTCAAGCACTGTGCTGATTACTGCACTTAAAGTGTTGAGTCATGGTTTGTGTGCTTCAATGTATCGTGATCTATTGATCCGAAGGTGGAGATTCAACTGCATGGGTTTTAGACTGTTAGAATAAATTCTGTTAATGTTCAATAAAGTATGTACCATTTGTATGTATCATCAGTAAAGTGTGTATTAATGTATCAATTTAAAAAAATCATTTTCAAACATAAAAATCCAAAAAAGGTGATTATTATTTATTTACTTTATTACTGTGTTAGTAGTTTAGTGTTTTTTTTTAAAAGTGGATAATCAAATTGTGTCATGATCAAATTTAAGATTTCATGAACTGAAATCTGCACTGAATCTTTTTCAAAAGAATCATAATCAAATTGGGTTGAATTATTGTGAGGTCAGATACTTACACCTACACCAGTCACTGTGGCGTTAATGGGCCTTTTGGTAGTTTCACTGTTGGCACTCTAATAAAGTCTAGTGCAGCTGAAAATATTTCTATAATTGATTAAATAACTTTTATTGGCTTAGTTTAGTCAAGTAATCCAGCTAATCTGCTTTTTTTGGTTCCTCTCCCTTTGCCACCATCATTCAAAGTTCTGTCAGAGCCAGTTTAAAGGGAGCCTGGTCACTTTGTATTGTACCCTTTGTACCTAAAACATGAATACAAAACTCTAGAGGGCACCACTAGCAAGTCTTCAGTGAATGGGGGTGAATGGAGCTAAACACCTAAAGATTTTAATGTAATATTCAAATTGGCTTTCCATTCTTTTTGGCATTTCTATTAATTTTTGGAAAGAATGAAGAATGCATTACATTAAAAATCAATTCAGACTTACCTGTATCTTTCCATTTTTCAATATAAAATACGTTTTGTGCAGTAGAATGCTGTTATTACGGCTACTGAGTGCCTCATTGGCTGAGCATCACCAAAATCCAACACCTACAGCCAAAAAGTGTTATGACTGCATAACTGAAATATTTTATGCAGCTTTGTGTGGAGAAAAGTAATGCTTTTTCTGTATTCTGTATATATATATATATATATATATATATAAGAATGATTAACCATTCACAAATCACAATTTTGCACAAAAGCTCCATAGGCCCCCATTCATTTTAGACCTCTGGAGCTCCCTCTGCCATCTCACCAGCCTTAAAGACATTACTGAGAAATTCTCTGGTTCAGTCTGTGTGTCATGTTATTTCTTCTTTTATGGTGCAACAAAGCAATAAAAGCCGTATTGCCCCCACATTTCCTGTAATGTACTGTAGTCTGTTGGAGTGACTGTACAGGATAATAACATTATAGAGCACTTGACATTAAAAGTTCACACCAACATTTTCTCATAATTGATGTTCATATTTGATCATTGCAGTCCTAGTAATGACACTCTGACGCATTTTTTATGTATATGGATGCATTTGCTCATTTATGCTTATGCATGCTTGTACCCTCTCTGTCTTTAGGGTAACTCAGGGTTGGGGTTCAGTATAGCAGGCGGGACAGATAACCCACACATTGGAGACGACCCCGGAATCTTCATCACCAAAATCATCCCAGGAGGAGCGGCAGCCGAGGACGGCAGGCTACGGTGAGTGTCATGGCAGAGTGTGTTTATGTGTGCACTGTTTTGGAACTTCAAATATGACATATATTTAAATGACTTTTTATCTTTTCTGACATATTTCTGACTTCTTCATTCTTGCTTTAATTGTCAGTTTTGAGCTCTGGTTTTATAGTTTACGTCACTCTCTCTCTCTCTCTCTCTCAGTTTCTCTCTCTCTCTCTCTGTTTCTCAGTGATTAAGACTGAGCTCTGTATCTCACTTCTAATGACTCTCCTGAGACCAGAGGAGCCTCAGCACACACACACACACACACACACACTCTCATCTCACTGATTGTAGCTGAGCTAGGAAATGGGTAAGACCATTAGAGCTGATTCAGGAGATGAGTGCTGGGCTGTTGGGGAAGTGTTTTTCTTATTACCGCAGGATGATTTTGTCTCTGTTAGATGCCCGTCATGATGATCAGGAGCTGATTGAGAGGGCTGTTTTATTACAGACAGTAATTATATGGCGGAAGGAGGGAGAGCAGGACTGTTTGTGTGTGTGTGTGTCTGTGTGTTTGCTGTGGAGGGCAGCTGTATGTGACAGTCCTATCTGTGTGAGTGTTGGGCTGTTCTCTTTGGTTTAGTTGTCTCACTGCTCCCCCCACCACCACCCCATCCTTTTCACTCTCTCTGTTATTCCTCCAGTCTCTCTCTCATCTGTCTCTATCCCACACTTTACTTTATTTATGCAGTCTTGCCCCTGCCAGAAAACCACACTGACATGAATCCAGCAATGTGAATAATTGTATTTTGATTAATATTTGAAGACATAGCATATGTAATTTCTAGTACACCACCCTTGCTGGGCTTTGATGCTGATGGTCTCTGGCTAATTCCTGCAGGCAGGGTGATTAATGCTATTACACAGTAGCCATAAAATGACATTTCTGCTTGTTTTGGAGGTCTTTAAGTTGAACTGTGCATTTTGTCTTGTATATCGTTGATAGAATATACAATATATCAGCTGAATTATATTTTCCCCAATAGGTTAAATTCGGCAAATAAACAGTAAATGTGCATTGTAATGTGCAGAAATGTGTTCTCTGCCAAGGATGTGTACTTATTTTTGCAGTCAGTGAAACATGTCATTAACCGTAAATGGGGAGGCATGTTTAAACTTAAAGCAGAAAGCCACAATAACATTTTAAAAGTATATTTGAAATCAAAGGCACATTCTTACAAAAAGTGATCCAGTAATGTTTGGCTCAAAAAATGCACAAAAACATGTTTGTTCAAGTTGTTCTGGTTACTGCACATGTGCATGCCTCCACCATGAAAGAGGACTTTTTCTGCTTGTGGCTTCACCAGCATGCTGATTGGCTCTTTTTTTTAAAGGGGCAGAACTTTCCCTATAAACAGGGCTAATCCATACCTTTTTCAACCAATGAGGACATGAAGGAAACATTGTATGCTTGAACTGTAAAGATGCTGGATCGGGCTTCAGCAAGGAACTGGTGGGTTGGTGTATGGAGGTTCAGGTTGATCTAAAGCATGTGAAGCCAAGAGGCAGCTTTGAGAATGGCGCTGTCCAGGGGCCAGGTGGTGCTGAATCTGATGGAGTTTTTGGAAGTGCAGTCATTACTTTTTGCAGGGTGATGTGAAGTTATGACCCATGATTTTCTCAGTGAACTTAGGTGTTATTTAGCTTATTTAGAAATCCCACCATAAGTAGAAAGGACTCATACTGATCTGTTGCTGATTTAAGGAGTGGGAAATATTTACTCAAGTCAATTTTCATTGGGGCTATTTTATAGGTGTTGAGTTGTTTTTGGCACAAGAAGCTGTAGTAGATATTCCATATTTTTGTCTGTACATGTGGCTAAGCACTGTCAGGCAATATTCATATTACCAGATTGAAGTGGCACAAATCCGATTTTTTGCCCTAATGTGACTCATATCTGATGTTTTCAGGGCTGTGTGGACACGCAAATCTCATCTTTTCAAATCCGACCTGAGCCACTTTCATATGTGGTCCTAGATTGAATACATATCCGATTCGTGGCCATGCGACCTTACTGTGAACGTTTAGATCAGAATTCATGTGCTTTTTTTCCACTGCGCTTGCGCCATCATTCAGTGTTACCATGGCAGCAGCACCGAACAGAAGTTAAACAGTTGAAAAGCAACACACTCACCTTTTTCGCCTTTGTCTTGCTCTAATAATGAACAGCTGAGAGTCTTTAGAGTTAATTATCTTCACAGCAAAGGCTTGTTTTGCTCGTTAGTTTGTTTGCTGATGATGCACGAGACACACATGATTCAGTCATGTGACGTTACTGAGTAGGATGTGCGCATGCGAGTCATTTCAGGACATTGGTTTGTTCACATTAATGACAGATTTGAGTCACTTACCTAAACAAGTGTGAACCATCGTGTCAGAGAGATCGGATTTGAGTGAAAAATCTGATTTGAGCAATGAGGCTTTAATGCAATCATTAGTGTACACTTTCTAGAACAGGTAGAAAACAGGTATGTACCTTTGCTGATAGCCTTAGTCAGTCTGACAGCTAGAAGCCCAACTATACTTTTGTCCTTTTTAGAATGCCCCACAAAACAAGCACAATGGTATTTTTTGTCCTTCTTTTTCTTGTTTGTTTTTTTGCATCATCATTCTCATATAACTACTTTCTCTCTGCACTCTGCTAAAGTTGTCACTGAGAGGAGCAGTGCAACATGTCACACTCTGTTGCCGTGTGTGTGTGTGTGTGTGTGTGTGTGTGTGGTGGGTCCCAGCTGCTCTGTGTGAGCATGCCTCAGGAGAAAGCTGTCCTTGGACCAGAGGCTGCCACAATCTGGAGCTCTCCACAAGGGTGGCTAAGCATACAGCAGGGGCTTACACAACTCTAACTGAGTGTTCGTGTGTGTGTGTCTGCAGGGTAAATGACTGTATCCTGCGTGTGAATGAAGTGGACGTGTCCGAGGTTTCCCACAGCAGGGCCGTGGAGGCGCTGAAGGTTGCTGGCTCAATTGTTAGACTCTACGTGCGCAGAAGAAGACCAATGCTGGAGACCGTGGTGGAAATCAAACTCATCAAAGGACCAAAAGGTTCCCAATTCTACCTTACATCAGCTCCAAACACCTCTTTCTCCCATTTTTATCTCAATGGCCACCGGATGCTCAGCACAGCATCTCTTACTGTAGTGGCACATAGCACTGCACACCACATAGAATGCATCAGAGTGAGAGAAGTTTCTTCTTAAAATACAGCTTTAGTCAAAATACAAAAGTCAAATATATGTATATATGTATATTGCATAACTACAGTGGAATTTCTTAATACATCCAGCATCTATCGACAGAGGAACTGAAGTTGGTACAGCTCTGTTCTTCTGTTTTTTCAGATTTTTGTGGTCTAAAATAAAATGTTAAAATGGCAAAGTCAATTACAAAGCAATACAGATGTTGTCAATTAAAAATGAAAGGAATGGCTAAAATGTAACAAGTAAAGGCAGATTCCTTTACTGACTAATATACTTTAGTAGAAGTAAAAGTATTATGCTTTGGAAATACTCAGGGAAGCACAAATCCATCAATGTATTACTAATATTTGAAGTACATATATTTGATTAAATGTAACCGGTTCCTATGCACCTCTGGAGAGTGCTTATGAACATAGAGCTAAAATTTCTTTTATACTCTGCTTGTATAGATTTAGAAGAAATAAAACTTAATATAATTTTGTGAATTTATTGCATTTAAAATCAGCTGACATACCTCTTCACGAACTTGCTGTTCTCAAGCTAAAAGGTATGAGGCGAAAAAAGACTGGGCTGTTAATGTTAGCTGACAGTTTGCGTTTGTTTATTTTAAAGACTTTAGATTGACTGCCTTTATCTGTAAACTTGCAGCATGCAACCACATGCAACCTACCATTTAGTTCTGTCGTCTTATTCTGGGTTTAGTTTAATGCTGTAACAGAAAATACTGAGTGGGCTGCTGTGGCATGTGGAGAAACTGTGCCAGCACATCACTGCTAGTGTGCTGCAGTGGCCTTTGACTATTGTTATTATTGTAGACACATGATTATGTATTTATTTACATAGTTAGTTGTGTAATGCATTTATATTGGATTTACATTCTGTAGTAATAGAAACAGCACTTTTCTATTTGTCTTAAGGTCAAACACTACCAAAAAGTGTGGCAAAATGATGGTGTTTTATCTTTCTGCAAAGTTCAAATCATAATAAAATATTTAAAATCTCGGTCAAATCTTTTACTTAGAAACTTAGGTACTATGAAAGTTCAGAAACACAGTTTCTCTGTGTATTTCACTGAACTGTAAGTATTATTATAGGTAAATTCTTATAGATTAAATATCTGTTAGAGAATGACATGCTTTTTTAATAATAATAACTGCAATAACTGCTGCTAATAATCTAAGAGAGGGTTAAGTTCATGTAGGGAACAGGATCTAAGCCTTCACTTCTTCACATTACTTCTTGGAATTGCTTTAACTGTTTTCCTCAACACAAATGTGTCCTTGGCTGAAAGTCAAAATAAAACAAAACACCGGATCCTCTGCTTGTGTGTAAGCGGTTTGTTATTTGTTTGTTGCTTGTGTATAAGTTGTTGTTATGGTCAGAGTGGTAAACAGAGCGCTTTTCTAAGAAAGGCAAAAGCTGCTTTGATGCATTATTTAGAAATCTGAGAGGAACACACATCACACACAATTTCAAACATGCACACACACATGCAAAATGTGGAGGAAGAGCTGCAGGCAACACAAATTATCATCAATGCACAGTCCTACCCAAACACCAACGCTGGAGACTCTAAAAGCTGTCAACACTTAACAACACAACCCTCTATTTGCAGCTCTATACAGGGCAATGGAATGAATTTTAATCATGCTGCACAGTGCGGTGGATTTAAAAGAGTGGGCCTCATTAAAACTCTCTTAATAAAAGCTGCAGGATGAATAGAGTGAAACTTTGGCAGTCTATAAAGGCTGAGAAGAGAAGCGGTTCCATTCAAAAGTAGTCATTGTTCTAACATGAACGAGGAGCCTGGGCCCTGAATACTGTATTATATTGTGTTTGAAAGCCTGGCTACTGAAATATGAAGTAAAGAGCATATATATACATACATATATATATATATATATATATAATGGATTTTGCTCTCTCTCACTCTCTCTTTTTTCAGGGCTAGGGTTCAGTATTGCAGGTGGGGTGGGGAATCAGCACATCCCAGGTGATAACAGCATCTACGTCACTAAAATTATCGATGGCGGGGCGGCGCAGAAGGACGGCAGGTTACAGGTTGGAGACAGACTGCTGATGGTAAGTGCGGAGCTCCACATAGACATGTAGAACTAGCCAAAATTGACCCAGCTATTTTCCACAAATGCCTACTTTTGTAACAAGTGTTTGTGTTGTTGAGCAAACAGAATGTTGACAAAAATCCCATTCAGCCTAATGAAGTTAGGTTTGTGTTTAGATTTAGTTCATAACGTAAAGTTTCCAGTCCTGATCAGGACAGTTGGAAACTGGGCATGGAAGTACGGCTGCTGGGTGGAGTGTCCGGTTTTTTAGCTCTGTTGCCCAGAGTCCTGATTATTGAGGTTTTCAACTGTGGGACTGGCGCATTCTGTGGCTGCATCTCACACAACACATACTGTACCCATGGTGCCATTTCTATTTTAAACACACTAATTAGTATGCTGGTATTCAGATTGAGACATTACCTGTGTGCAGGCACATAGGCAAAGTTAGGCTACGTTATGGCAAGGATAAAATGATAAGTGAACCTGCTACTTTCAAAAAGCAATCATACCTGTATTTATTTTGTGCATTGATTAGCTGACAAAAGAGACACATGGTTTTATTTGTTTTAAACAATGGCAGCATGACAATGAATTTGCCATCATGCTAATGTTAGTTTGATTACACAGCAAAAGGAACTGCACCAGATCCATACAAAATAAATAGTATTTTGAATTAACACACTGTAAATTTCCATATTTTGTAAAAAAATGATCACCATTTCTTATTATGTTGAGTGAGATTTTCCAACCTGGCAGCGGTTACTATGAAAAACGCATTTGTGAACATGCCATGGATAGGTCAGTGTCACAGCACCACCAAAATTAGAGTTTTGCAGCACAATGAGTTCCTAATGCAGCATGTCGTGTCTTGATCACTGTGGCTTCATGATTTCTAGCATTTCCTGTGTTAAGCCTCAATATTCTGGATGTTTCCCAAAAAGTACCCCGTAAAGCCAGTTGTGTTATTTGGAAGAATAAGAGTATATCTAAAAATTTCTAAATGTCTCAGTGCTCGCAGTAAAATATGATGAAATCAAATGCAAGAAGTACAAAGCCAAACTTTTAGTTGCTTTTTAAAACTGAAATGGCAGTAGCAATAGTAATAACATTAATAATCCCACTGCCTGTTCAGCGCTACCATTTAACACTGTGTATACTAACCAGCCTCACTGGGAATTTGCGAGACTTTGTGAATTTCATACAAATTAAAGAAAAGCTTAAACCACTAAACTCATGTCTAATCATAACCATTTGTAACTTGGGCTCATGCAGATGACTGTAATTGCAATACTAAAAATAATCAGTTTGTTATTTGCTTGTTTACCATGATCAAACAATTATCTGTATACATTATGCTATACTTCACTTTCAGTAATTGCGTTTTTGTTGTGTATTGTGAGGTAAAAAAATTCTGGTAAGTTATAGCCATTCGCAATTCATATATAGGGAAAGCAGTAAATCACTTGACACAGAATGATATATTATGTATATATATATATATATATATATACACACACACAGAAGATGCTGGAAGCACAGTGCTTCAAACGAGTGCTCTTTTATTTTCCATATAGCAGGGGAAACCCGATGCCAGCGCTAACAAAATACAGCAGGGAAGCAGGCAAGTCACCAACAGCCATGCAACTGTAGTCCATGGTAAACACGCAGACCAACCTAACTTCCCCACAGCCCAGCCCAACACAACACACGCAACATTGCTGCAGCTCTTATTACCAGCAAGTTATTTACAAAAATAAAGTCTCTCACCGCTGCACAGCTGTAGCCGTGGTCCACGGCCGAACAAGCTGCTAGCAGGACAGTAAAAAAAATATATCTATATATCTATTTTTATATAGAAAACCTCGTATCTACAAAGTTAAGTACAGTTTTTTACCTTTTTTCAAGAGGACCAGTACAGCATACAACAGTTCATGTAATTTGATATGAGTCAGCACTTGCTACTGGGTGCTGTCTCATAGCAGAGTCCTTCAGGAGCTTCTGTCTTTGCAGCACCAAAAACTGGCATGCTACTTGCAGTGATTCCTGATTGCAGCTTTTGAACTTGAAGCTTAGCTAAAGTGTGGCTGGAGCACAGCCAACTAAAGTGTAACTGGTTTCGCTCTCTCCCTGCAGTAGTTTATGACTCAGGCTCTGCTGCCACTGAGGGTCGTTAAAGTCGTTAAAGCTGAGTTTGATTTAATTAACAGGATCAGTGCTGTGTGTAATCCTGTGTGTGCAGGACACATTTGGCTCCACTGATGCACCATTGACAATTGAAGCGTGTGGTAAAAGGCGTATGCAATACTGCATTTACACACTGTCTCTCTCTCTCTCTCTCTCTCTCTCTCTCTCTCTCTCTCTCTCTCTCTTTTTGTATCTCTCTCTCTCTCTCTCAGGTGAATAACTACACTCTGGAGGAGGTCACCCACGAGGAGGCAGTAGCCATTCTGAAGAACACGTCAGATGTTGTGTATTTGAAGGTGGGGAAGCCCACTAGTGTTTACCTTTCAGATCCCTATGGGCCTCCCGATATTACCCATTGTAAGTAGCTCTGCACATACTACTGTAATATAGTACCACAATAGTAATGATAGAAGTGATGTATGCAGTTTAGGATTGTTTATGTGCAGGTTACTGGTTGCTTAGTGTATATAGAATGTGTACATGTGTTATTGCTGTTTATCCGTCAATTTAAAATAAAAATATCTGTAACAGATATTCTTAATATACATCACATTCAGTACCTGATTTCTGTATTAATGCTCCAAGTTATTAAAAAACATCAATCAGTTCACACAATATTTTGATGACTTTTATGTTGTAGTAGTAATGAACTTCTTTGTTTGGCAGAAGAACTGGTTTATTGCTGTTATTATTAATAATAAATTTACATATTTACCAATGGTATGCATTATATTGTATTATGCTTTCTTTTTTTGTAAAAAAGAACCTCAAGGCTATGCATTCCAGTGATTTTACCACAGTTGAGAGTTTTTCACTCTGGTTTTTATATCACCTAACCACACCCTTATTGCCAGCATTGGGGTAGTTGCTCAATAAAAAAAATTACTACTTATTTCTCTGTATTAATGTAGTACTGGTGAAATTTATGTTTAAAAGCATCACATGAAATTAATATTGTTCTCTTAGAGACATATGAGAAACACAAGTACCAAAATAACAAAAGTCAGTAACTATAATATGAGTAAAAGTATTTAAGCTTTAATGCGTTACGCTACTTCAGTTCTGCAAAAAGTAGCTACATTACTCGAACACATTACTTTGTACCATGTTACGCCCCACTCTGATTATTGTTTTAATTTACATTTGTAGCTGTAGAAAACTACAGAGAAAATAAGATGTGAGGTGACTGGTTTAGATAAGAATAACTGTTGTGATCAGTGAGAGTGTGGTAACACATGGCTGTATTACTTCATACTAACTTTACTGTTTGCTTTCTTGCTCTGTCTCCCTCCTCCTTTCTGTCTCTTGCTGCAGCGTTCTCCCCTGCTATGGATAATCATATCTCTTCCGCTGGTAATAACGGGACTCTGGAGTATAAGTCCAGTCTTCCTCCCATCTCCCCCGGCCGCTATTCGCCCCTGCCACGCCACCTGCTAGGGGAGGAGGATATTAACAGGTTGGATGGCTTTTCATTCTTACGGTAATTCCCTCCCTCTCTCCGCCAGACGCCACAGCCCACAGGTAGAATCTATGTAGACCCACCCCCAGTGTGTCACTGTGTAGAAATCCCAAAAGCACCGTGGGCAGAATCATCACAGCTTGTGATGGGATTGCTTTGGGATTTTAAAGCCCCTCCTGTTCCACTCTGTCTGCCCCTGTTAGTCCACCACCCCGTCCCTGGTGTTGGTCTGCTTATTGAAATGTCTGGTATGAATGTAACTGTGCTGGAATGGAAAGGCAGGACGTGTTCCTCGTGCTCTCCGAGAGCTATACAGCAACACTGAAAAAAGTTATAGATGTGTTTATTTGCTTCACATTTGTGCATCATAACCACTTTATTTCCACATTAATAAAATATGTTATGTCAGCACAAATGACTTGACCAGACTTGCAACTGGAACATGCTGTTTTGTAACGTTATGTAGTGACTCTAAACAAAGAAACAAAGATTAAAGGACAAATCAGTTATTACCTGAAATATTTAGAAAAGCAAAAATCATACTTATATATCTGTTTTCAGTTATGTGGAAATCATGTACACATTTTAATCAAGTAAATTCTGTACTTTGATTCTTCAGTGAAACAGCCTCAGGGCTGACCCCAGTACTTTTTGTAACCTGTGCATATTAATTTCAGTTAACCAAGTGTGGAAGAATTGATCTGGTTGATCTGGTAGCTTTTATAAACTTTTCTGCAGTATTTATACATATACACACACACACACACACACACACACACACATACACACACACACACACACACACACACACACACACACATACACACACACACACACACAAAGAGTGTAGGCATCGCCAGTCATCTGATATTATCATATTAAACTCTTCTGCGCGGCTTCTCTGTGCGGAGAGCAGATGGCATCCAGGCTTGTTTGTCTGTGTGTGTGCTGAGTTGTTTTGGGGGGTTATTTTAAGAGGCATATGGTTCCTGCAGGGCAGGAGATATTTCTGACTGGCTGCTCAGCGTAAAAACCTGAGACTAGCCGGCTGGAACAGGCCTGCATACAGGACTTCTAGAAACCTCAGAGCAGAAAAAAAAACCCTAGACCAATAGTCAGAGTCAGACTAAGTACAACAGACACTCCTGTACAAATCAGTACTACAAGGGCTCAGTTGTCAATGATGTTTGAATTACCATTTGGAAAGATAGCTAAGTAACCTTGGAAACAAGCTGAGAGAGTCATCAGTGTTGATGTAATACTTAAAAGTTGCCCTTCTAACTCTTAGCACATTGCAACAAACAGAGGAAAGTACTTCTAAACTTATAACCAATAACACATTGTTTTTTTATAAGCAGAAGATATTTAATTATGTTATGAAGTTGATAAAAAGTTGTCTGGTTTTGCAGAAAGAAAAAAATATATATTTTGTTTACTTTATCATTTTTTCTCATTGAAACAAATAGAGAAAAGTTCAATGCGGAATCAGACGTGTCAATGCAGCAAGTAAATTTAATGTACATGTAATTTATCACATAACTAACTATGTAGTTAAAGTCAGCCCGAAATCAAAATGGAGCTTTTTTATCTTGTTTGTTCATGCTCCTGGTCATATTAAGCATGATTCATCATACTGTACCAGTTGAAAAACAGAATTCTCCCAGAATTCTGTTTTCCCGTGCTGACTTTTGCTCACCTCTAAAACGTCTTCTGAGTTTTGATTACATAACTGTGCGTCAGCTCATGTGGCAAAATAATATTAAACAGTAATATCATGTTTCACCTCTCCCTCCTTCCACCGTCACCTGTCATCGAACGAAAAGAGACTCTCCCTAATACAGTGTTTCACTCGGAAGTACACTAATTTTAAAAGCTTTGAATCACTGTTTTCAGTCATATAACACCATTTTGTTGCAGGTACATGTAAAAAATAATTATATTTTCCTACTAATATTCAGAAGTGTGTAGAGTAAAACTCAAGTAAAAGTATTAATGCTTGGTTAAGATAATGACTAAAGTAAAAAGAAAAATAACTTACCAAAAAAAAGTACCAAAGTATCAGGTCAAAACTACTTAAGTACTGAGTAACTTCTAAAACTACAGTAGAAATTCTTAGTAAATCCAGCATCTATCTGAGGAACTAAAGATTCAGGGCTGCCAATCAGAACAGAGAACATGTATCTGGTATATAGATATACCAGTCTTAAAGACACGGAAACAGAAACTTCCTGTTTAATTCTAGGGGAAGAAGAGACGTTGGAAAATTGTCATGTAAAAATGAATCACTGTGTTTGGTACATAAAACTGCACGAACGTCATACATGGACTTCAGGAAAAAGCAGACGATACAAGAAAAATGTAGGGTATGTGTCCTTTAAATAATATCGCAAAATGACATTAACAGCTAAGGTTCAACCAATAAATGAGCTGGACAGCTACGGTATGATTCTGAACACTGTGTTTCTAATTACTTACTCATAAGATAATGACTGCAAATTTTACAGCTCTATACTGTACCGCTCTAGCTTTTAAATTGGGTTTAGAAACTCTAAAAGTCACCTCACATCTTTCGTTTGCTGCGCAGACTTGGCGGTGGAGGGCGTTAAGGTCAGACTGGGCCTGTTGTTGCATTAACAATAAGAGTGCTGAGCCTGTAAGGCTCTCTGTAGGGATATTGTTATAGGATAATGCAGCTAGAAGAACAGCCGGGGGGGTGGGGGGAGTTATTTACAGCTGATATGGTCTTGCAGACACGTGGCCTGTCCGTGGAGCTGAGAGGGCCGTTTGCAAGATCCCAGAATTCCAGTGGGCTTACTGGCTTACAGCCACATCACATGTTTACCAGCTCATTATCTTAATGCAGGTGAATAGAAGCGGGGTTGGGGGTGGGGGGGTTGGGGAGCAGGTAAAGTCACTCAGCATTTTAAATCCTGTTTGCCAGAGTCAGTCATGAATTAGTAATGAACCATAGGAGTGATGGGAGGGACGTTTCCTTGAGCTGCGAGATTGGGATTAGTGTTTCATCCCTAAAAGCTTAGTCGACTCCAGGTGCCTCTGCTAGGCTTGGCTAATCTGCTAGTTTAGCCCCTCTGATCCCCCCACAGTTATCCTGTGAAGGAAGAGCCCTCATGTATTTGAAGGGTCTCGATTTAAACTCCCACAAGCCACTGAATGTAATAGGAGAGGTCACAGCGTCGTGACTTTAAACCCATTGTTAAGTAATAGGAAGGAGAACTGATTCTGGCAGATAGGCTAAGATGATTAGCATTGCAAAGCTTTATGCAGTTTTGCATAATAAATGTGAACCTATGCCATAGCTCTGCTGATGAATAATGGATTGGCTGTGACAGAAGGCAGAGGACTGTGTGTGAGTCTGTGGGTATGTGCTGGAGGCTGTAGGCTATGATGCAGTGTGGCGTGATGCAGAGTATATAAGTAGGGAGTGTGGTGTGTGTGTGTGGGGGGGTGACTTATAGTAGTCAGGCTACTATTAAAAGCTCAGCTATAAGAGGAAACATAAAGAAGATCCTACCCTACGTAACTTCATTTCAAGGAATGGTTCAGTGAAAAATCAAGCTTACACAATTCTCCACTTACCTCAGACGTAGTCAATCAGTCAAGATCTGTGTCTAAATTTTGCTTCTTTAGTTTAGTACTGGAGCTGCAATGCTAAATTGCTAACAAACACTAGAAGTCAATAATCACTCCAATCTTTTATAAATACATCCCCAAAACTGAACCAAACTCACCGAACTTCTGTAAACACACACATTCTTCCAGTAAAGAATTAGACACAGTAAAAAATCAACAGGTAAATAGATTTAAGTGAAGGTCATGAATGTAAAGTCAGTTTTCATTGGCTGAGGAGTGCATTCAGATTGAGTTGTTGACCAGTACACAACTAGATTATGCTCAGTCAGGCTGAAGAAAGCAAACGTTTGATATACTTCGACTGGCAAAAAAAATCTCTTGCACATTACTCAATTTACAGGTCAGAGCCAACCGGCACAGACTCAGCCAGACTGAGAATCGGGTCTAAAATCATGCTAAAAGTCATGTATTGTAACCCCACCTTTCTATAACAGGTGTTGTGCTGAATTTCTTCAAGTGCATGCTCATCACAAAGATATATAGACGGTACAGATTACATTGCTGTTGCTTCTATTTATAAATATCTATTTTTCTATTATACATTTTGTACTGAAGATGTATGTGCCTTAAGATATATGTGTCCTTACATGGATTTCTGTTTATATTCATAAGGGACACGAAGAGCCATCACAGTCTGCGGGGCAATCGAAATTTGGCACAACATCTGCAGCGTTCAGCCACATAGTGTTTTTGTTATGTTGTCAGAATTCACAGTACGTCATACTGTGTTCTAAACTAGTGGATCTTAAACTGGTCCTCAGGACTCCCAGATGGTCTGCTCAACTTGCAACACCTAGGGACAGAGCAGAAATGTGAACAAACTGAGGAGGTCATTTTGAGAACCACTACTGTAAACCACATTGAGAAATCTACATGACATTCAAGCTAAAAAAATAATTCTTTATATGTCTAAGTAGCAGTTTGTAAGAGCTGATTATTTATATTATAGCTTTATTATAGACTACATTCTCAACAACATTGTGCTGTGACATCACAACCACAACTAACTGGCACTCTGATGCATGTTCAGCCTTCAAGCCTCAAGCCAGAAAAAGTGAAAATGATGGTCTCCTTGGCTAAAAAACTATGATTTAATCACATTTGAATGACAATCACTATCATCAGTATTGATGAGAAAAAAATCAGTTAGACATTAAGGAAGATGAGCAGATTGAGAGAAGTTTTAGGCATGTAATTATGGAAAATATTCCAGTGATTATTGCCCTCTTGTTTTTGTTAGCAGTATTAGCCCCAGAGCTTCAGCACTACTTAAATTAAATTTGAACACCAGACATATCTTATCGACTACGTGTAGGATAAGTGAAAAATTGTATACAGTTGGTTCTTTGCTGAACTACTTCTATGTAATG